TTGGGATCATCGGCAATGCCATCTCTTTTGTCCTCTTCCTATCACCCATGTAAGCATATGTATCTCTCCTTCGGATACTGAATATTTACAATGTTTCATTTATTCAATTTTTTTAATTGCTTTCTACAATAGACAAATTTTTTTTTTTAAATAATAATAAAAAACTATCACAAACAAAATCTTTGCATAAAAAATAATAAGATACATATTATCTCATTAAAAATTTGATCCAGTTGTATTACTTTTCTAAATTTTTTACAATAAAGATATAGATGAACTTCTTAGATTTTTTTTATCGGCCAAATTTTAAATTATATTTAACCATGTTTATTATTATCTTAAAATGTAAGAAAGAAAATAAAAATCATTTTTAACTATCATGCAAGATATTAGTGGCAATTTGGTTTGTTATAGAATGTTATAGAGAGATCTCAGATTTTTATTTAATTTTTCTGGCATTATTAGAAAATAAGTTTTTTTATGTATAATTAATTACAACCTTAAAAATATTGATATATATCTTTGTGCACAATAATATTAAATAGAACCCATATTATTTTTTTATTATTTTATATCTTAACAATATTAAGAATTTAAGATTAGAACACCTTGTACTGATTCTATTAATTTGTGATGGATTTGATGACTGCATATAACAATGAACTGAGCCACTTAAGCAGTACAATATCTTTCATAATATTTCACATATAATCGTGCACTTATGCAATATTGTAAATACATATATTATATTTTTCAGGCCAACATTTTTTCGAATATGTAAGAAGAAATCTGTTGAGCATTTCTCTGTAGTCCCTTACGTTGCGACGCTACTCAACTGTATGCTTTGGGTATTATATGGTTTGCCCTTTGTGAAACCTAACAGCACGTTAATAATAACCATTAATGGAGCTGGCACTGTGATAGAGCTCATCTATATTTTTATCTATCTCCTCTACTCGGACGGGTCGAGACGGATCAAAGCCCTTGTACTTCTCTTCACAGACATCACCTTCGTTGCCGTCGTCACTGCTATCATCCTTTCTATTTTCAAATCCCATGAGCGACGAACACTTATTGTTGGTATTCTATGTATCATTTTCTGTATCATGATGTATGCCTCGCCTCTCTCTATTATGGTAAGTTAGAACAACTACATGTTCATTTTATACAATCAATAAATTATTATTAGTAAAAATATTTATTTTAAATACCTATTAATAATATTATTAATATTTTAAATAATTGATTTATGTTCCATTTAAAAAATTACTGACTTTTTATGAGTCTCATTAAAGTTTTCATGCACAAGTGACATGCTTCATGTTTTCCATGTTTTGCAGAAAAGGGTGATAAGAACAAAGAGTGTGGAGTACATGCCTCTCTATCTCTCGATTGCTTACTTCTTTAATGGGCTTTGTTGGACTACTTACTCACTCATCCATCTTGACGTGAACCTCACGATAATTGCATTAGTCAAGTTCCATTTTTTATTTTTTATTTTTTTTCTATGAGATTGTATTCATGAAAATGTTGGAGTAGCTCTAGACGAAAATAAGATTAGAGAGAGTTACATTAGATGATTTGATCACATAAAATGTTTGTCTTTCGATGATCTGATAAGGAGAGTAGATGCATTATATCTAACCTATATTAAGAAAGTATAGGTAGACCAAAAAGACTTGATTAGAACGTATTATAATTTATTTTTTAAAATTAGATTTTAATGAAAATTTGACTCTTAATAGGACACAATGAAGGAAAAAAGATTCATGTAGTTGACCTCAACATAGTGGAAAAGACTTGATGTATTGTGGTCCCTCGATTGTATCAGATCTGTTCAGAATTGCATTATTTACACTAAAATTAATATGACATGCCTGGTAAATTGGATACCTCATGTCGAAGTTGAAAAATAGTTAAATTAGATTTAAATAAGAATTTGACTTGTTATAAGACACAATAAAGAAAAAGGTTTCATGTAGCCGACCTCAACGTAGTGAGAAAAAGATTTGATGTTGTTGTTACCTCTGGATTGTATCAGATTAGCTCTTAATTTTACTTGCGGGAATATTAATATGGCATATATGCATGGTAGATTGGATAACCTGAGCTAATATTTGATGAGCCAATCATTTTCAAGTCTAGGAGATATGAATGCTTCACATGTCAAAATAATTACATTTAAATGCTAACAAAAATTTGAAAAAAATGTAGCCCATTTTGTGATAGTAGTATGGTTCTTTCACTGCATTTTTCGGGTTGAAGGTCAATAGAGCATATATATATATATATATATCATTGATAAATTTAGCAATAATAATGTTTTATTCAGTTAAATTTTTAATGTTTATTTACACATAATTAATTATTAAAAGTTAAGCATAATTTTGGATCATTGTTCTTTAGGTTTTAGTCTCCTAAAAAGAGTCAATATTCTAGAATAATTCTTAAAAAAATTTTAAATAGTATTTAATGTCTTCATGACTAAAAATAGAAAAAAAATTTAGAGAGTTAATTCTAGCCTTTAGATTGAATGGCCTTGGTATAACATTAATGGAACTACTATTGGTATAAATGGTGATATTATCTATAAGTTTATATAAAGCAAAGTGATTAATAAAAAATAAGTAATCTCTTCTATTAGATATTGCTTTTCTTATCTCCTTAACTTTTCCAATACCTTAAAGCTGTTCAAATTTTAACCATTTCTATTTATAAAGTGCAGTAAATGGCCTCTACCTCATGTATTTGTCATGCAATTTAACTTTGAAACTTGTTTAAGGAATTAAGTTTATCACATTAAAAAATAACTAAGATTCATATTGTTGACAAATCATCAATAGCGTTAGCCAAAATTCTAATTTTTAATGATAAAGATAAGCATATTGATACACACTATCATTACATCAAATAATCTAACGTAGTGAAATACAAGTAGAGCATGTAAAGTCTTAAAATCAAGTTGGAAATATTTTCATCAAGCCACTCATTTGTAAAGATTTTATCAACACAAACAATTTACTCAAAGTATTAAGTTTAAAGGGTGTGTTAGAAATTATACTTAATTTTAACCTAGTTTTATCTGGGCATCATAAGTCTACTTAAAGCACTTATTCAAAAGTAATCCATAGAAAAATCTAGAATAATATTTCTCTCTCTCTCTTTCTCTCTCTCTCTCTCTCTCTACATAACTATCTCATGATTCTTAAATTTATGTTTCAGATTCCAAATGCAATTGGGCTATTGTTTGCTATTGCTCAATTGCTCCTGCATGCAATTTACAATAAATCAACAAAGCAGCAGCCAAATGAAGTGAAGAGCGAAGTGGCACTTTCAGAGGTGAACATTACCCATTGAAATGTCTATAGTCCAAAAGAAACAACAAGTGTCAGTTCATTTCAGACTATTTTTTTATTGCTTCTTAAAATAGCTTTCTAGTATAAAAAATTTTATTTATGTATTATAAAGATGCTTTAAGAAGAAATAAGAAAGCTATCCCAAATGAATTCTAAGAATTTCGCTATACTTAAAAACTTTAGACTTATCACATATTTCTAAACTTTTAACTTATTTTAATTTGGTTGTAAAATGATCTCTTCCAATTTTAGTTTTTTATGATTATTTTTGTTGTTTTAGAGGTTTACCTTCTCGATTTCACTTCCACTGGCTCCTAGAAGAATTAATAAAAAAATATTATACATGAATGTTCATAGTTGTGAAATCATTTGACGATTCTGATGAAGTGCTTCCTTGGTGCACAAATGATTATGATAAATACTTTTTTTAATTGTTGATTACTAAAATCACAATATTAATTAGTCCAAATTTTTTTAATTTGATAAAGTCAATTTATAAAGAGGATCATGTTTTAAACGAAATTAAGTGTAAGAAGCACATGTGCAAAATAATTTTAGAAGGAAAAAATATGGAGAACCAAATTACGCATTAGAGAGATTGTGGAAAACAAAATCACGAATTATAGAATGCGGAAAACTGAATTCGCATTCTATTGAATGCGAATTCAATTTTCCGCATTCAAGCTTTTTTTTTCCTTTTTTTGTATAAACCATTTTTTAACGGTATTAAGGTTATTTAGGAATTTAATAAACCATTATTTAACGAAGTCATTAACCTTACAAAATCATCAAGTAAATTACTATATTATTGATAAAGTAGTAATAATATTTTTTATCCATTTATTTTTAACTTAAAATATTTAAATTACACTTATTTTATTTTATTAATTTAAATTATTTTTAATATTATTTGTACATTTATATTGATAATAAAATTTTAAAAAAAAATTGTATATTTTTATTAATTTAATTTTAAATCTTAAAATAAATATTTTACAATATATTGAATATTTAATTATGTAATTAATGAAGAATTATCAAAAAATATTTGTATTATTATAGTCATATAATTATATATCACTTGAATAATTATTTTATTTGCTTATTACTAATAAGATTAATTTAACTAAAATAATTATTATTATTGCGAGCTAGAACATACACGGCGATAGAGTTTGAAAGTTTTCGTCTCAGCGTTGTATGGATATCCAGCACATAAACATAAGATGAAATAATACTAGGATCTTTATGTGAAAAACTCTGAAAAGGGAAAAACCACAGGGTCACACCCCGTTGAAAGAATTTCACTAGTTTTTGATTGAGGTACAATAAGCTGAGTCGTCCTTAAAATTTAGGATGATTATATTACAATAATCCACTACCAAATTCATTTACAAACAAGAATTTGAGATTCGACAATATTGGGTATTCAAGCTGAATCCCAAAGTCACTTAGAGACCGGACAGTATTCCGGCGTCACTTGGACATCGGGCGGAGTTTTCAACATCATTTGAAAGTCGAGCGGAACTCCAGTGTCGCTTGGAAGTTGGGCGAAACTCTGGCATCACTTGGAAGTCAGGAAGAATCCTGGCGTCACTTGGAAGTCAGGAAAAATTCCACGTCACTTGGAAGTCGGGTGGAACTCTGGCGGTGGTCAAGGAGGAGCTTCTTCCCTCCTCTTCTCTTATTCTTGTTCTTCTCTTCTTCTCTTCTTCCTTTCTTCTTCTTGCTTGGGTCCCCTCTCAAGAGAAATGAGGGGCTATTTATAGTTTTTTGAAGATGGCATGACCTGTAAATAGGAGGAGGATCAAGTGCAAATGTGGAGTGGTTCGGATGGATGATCGATATTGAATCCCTTGATCATGAACTATTTGTAAGACATTTGAAGGTCTTAATGAATTCATAATTTAGCAATCCTGGGCTCACTGGATTCGTCTCATTGAGCCGCTCGATTTGATTATAAGAATGTCATGTTTCGAAATCATTTTGTAATCCAAATTGTGGTTTGAATCTTCAAACAACGCTTTGGGTCTTCAATTCAGACACATTTAGGCTTCTATCGAGTTGAATTTGGTGTCGTTGGATTTGTATTTTTAAGACACTTAGTTTGACTATAAGTTTAATGGAATCAAAGTTCATATGATCCCAGATTTAACTTTTAAACTTTTCGGTCTAATTTTACCTCGAGATTCATACCAGATCAAGATAATTTTTTGATGATATATTAGTTGCTCCTCCTTTTTCGGACGTCAAAGCTCTAGGAGTTTGAAAATACGCATCAAAACTTTGGAGAATTATTTATGTGATTCAAAATATGAATATAATCCAATCTTGTGTATAGAGGTCCCGAATGGCTTTGAAAGTATCAAAATTGAGTCCAAAACATCAAAAAATGGTCCCAAGGATCCCAAAAACATCAGATTTGGCCTATGGAGGCAAAACTTTTGATCCCAATTCTTGCTGGTTGTCGAACCGGCTTGTCGGCCACCATTTTTTCCACCACCAGCTGTCAAACTGCTCCCATGGCCCATCGGCCCCACGCTGCGGCCTGGTCGTGGCCCTCCTAGCCCACTGCGCCATTTTCCTGCGATCGGCCTGGCCCGCTTACGACCTGCCCAACCTGTCCTCACAATACTGGCCCGCCTGGCCGGCCCGCAGCTTATGCTAGCCCCACCCATGACCTACCTAGCATGCCATTCTTGCTCACCCAAGCCCACCTGGCCCATGCCTCGCGTGCATGGTTTTGCACACCGCTTGGCTTCCAAGCGCTGATTCGGGCCCGCCGCTATAGGTTAGGGGAACCACTAGCCTAATTTAAATTTTTTTAAAATAATAAAAAATCCCAAAAAAATCTTTAAAAAATTAAAAAATTTGAAAAATTCTAGAAAATTTTGGAATATTCTTAAAGCATCTCTTTTCCCAAAAAAAATGCTATAAATACCCCCCTAGGGCAAGGGGGAACTTGCTCCTTCTTTTCTTGTCCCTACGACCTTCTTACAGTTAAGGCATTTCATTACTTTATATAGGTGACTTTTCCTACTTAGCTCAATGTCCCTCATCTTGTATAGAAGTTATAATTTTCTTAGTCTTTTTTTTCTTTCTCCCCTATTTTTCTTCTTGCTCTGGAGGCCTTCCACTATCTTTTGTAGGTGACTTTCCTTGCTCAAATTCAACGCTCCTCTTTAGTGTAGAAGTTAAAATGGGTGATCACACATCCATAAAAATTCCCCTAGCTAAAGAAGATCGCCATGTTGCCCGATCTGAGGGTTTAAAAAAGACTCACAAGGAGACCACGACCGATAATGTTATCTCCACCATAACTAGCGACTCTTTGATAGCTTCTAGGAAAAAAACATATTTTCCTAATGATCTTGTGATGAAGGTGCTTATAAAGTTCGATCGTTCTCGTTCTCCTCCTGTGGAGTATGTGACAGTGTATAAATTTAGTTTGCGGGTAGGGTTATAGTTTCCACTAACTCTTGAGTTGATTGATATTTTGACAATCTGTGGATTGAGTTTGTCTAAACTTTCATATTTTTTAGTTTGTGGGGTGGTGTTATCTTTAGAATGCCTTTCTCGGATGGGTCATCCTATTAGTGATACGTAGGGTCATATCTCTTCTAAATCTAAGGGGCTATATATTTGTACTCAAGATCCATCGAAGGGCTGGATTAGTGACTTCTTTTTTGTACAAAATGATTGGAATCGCCTAAAAAAATGGTAAAAGCTGAAGGAGTTACCCATTCCCCTATATATTGGAGCTGAAGATTTATTAAAATACTCAAACTTTCTGATATTAACTCCCTTAATTATGAGGTGCACTATTTGAGCAAATATATAGATAAAGAATATTTTTTCAAGGTGGGACTATATACACAAGAAGGGAGATCACATGCACAAATGCTAAAGAAGTTAGTGAAAGTTCCAGAGGCAGTTACCCAACCTTCAAAAGTACCTTTTAAACGATCAGGAAGTGAGGGTGATCTGCAGGCATCCAAAACGAAGGTGGATGAAGTTTTTCCAGTCACTAGCGCAAAGGTCCTCGTATCTTTCCATCCAAGTCACACATTCTAAAAGATATTTTAAAACATCAGTGTATTGTCTGTCAATGAACTGAGGATTTGGTGAGTTCACCTTTTCTTCTTTCTTTTTATATTTTTTTAAAGGATATATCTCTTACAAATTTTTTTTTGTTGCTTTAATTGGTGCAACACATTGATTTCAAGCTTGAAATGACCAAGACCTTGAATGACTAGAATAGTAAATTTGTAAAGGTTAAATATCTTTAGGGATAATAAAAGAAAAAAATATGATGACAAAATCAAGGAGATAAAGGTGGTGGAGGAGAAGCTAGCGGAGTGTAGAGTAGAGCTAGCTAATATGATAACTTCAACCTCCTCATATAATCAATAGATGGATCATCTATATATAGAGTTTGTGGATACACAGGTGATGGTCAACCAGTAGATTCAAGATCAGTAGATCTTTGAAACTGAGAATAAAGGGTTCCAGAGTATGTTGTCAGAGTAGGGAGCCTAGCAGATACCGTAAACAATTATAAAACAATTCAAAAAATCTGTTATCTTTAAGATAATTATTGAGGATCACATTCATAAAGATTACAATCATATTTATAATGTGGAGGTGAACGCTTTAGAAGCAGAGTGTATGGAGGACGGCTTCATCAGAGATTTTATGAAGGGTGTGCATATAGTGCAGTGCAAGACTAGAGTGGAGATCAAGGAGTTAACACCTAGCCGGACTTCTGGTGACCCTTCTTTAAACTCTGGCAGTGAAGAGGTAGATAGTGAGTTGTAGAAGGCCTTTTATCTCGAGGAGGAGGAGGTTCATATTGAGATCCTGTAGGATTGCTCTGATTTTGGTTGTACCACTTTGTTTTTTTTTTTATTGATGAGTATATGTGTTTGTTATTGATTCTTTCATATGATGTATATGATGTTCAGTGATATATTAAGAAATTATTGGTGTTACTCTTTTTTC